CTCTCTCTCTCACACGCACACACACACACACACACAACATACATACGTACACCTCTTCGTGATGTGCGCGCGTCTCTATCGCAATTTCATCTACGTTCGACAAGATAGATTGCGTTCCTTGCCAGTCCGCAGTTTTTCGTAAATATTTTTCGTTACACGCTATAAAACATATTATCGATAATCGTTTCCACATCTTTTGATTTGGCATTCGCGAATGCTGCCTAATAAAATTTCTCGCCGTCATATCTCTTTCTTTCTATTTTGTCACACTGACGATAGTAATAAAATAATATAATTAATACTCAATAATCGCGTGATATATAATATATAAAAGGGATGACAATAATCGTTACTAAACAAACATTACGTGTGGTTTATACATACATATATATATTTATATATATAGTAGTTGCATATGCGTACGTAATTGTCTCACCTCCTCTTGCTTACCTACCTACCCTCTAAATCTCGCCCCTGCTCCCTCTTCCGCCTTTCATCTCTTTTATCCCCTAACTTTCACACATCGCTGGCTACCATTATTGTAATAAACAAATAGCATTCTAGTATCGAATTTACAGTCACTTAACGCCACTTAATTATTTAGAATTATCGCGTTACGTGCCGTCTCTCCTTTTTCTTGTCCTTTCGACTCGCGTCGTTTATTAACAGTGCACGTCATATGTAAGGACGAGCTCTTTCTCTCTCTCTCTTTCTCTCTCTCTCTCTCTCTCTCTCTCTCTCTCTCTCTCTCTCTCTCTCTCTCTCTCTCTCTCTCTCTTTCTGGTCATGTCACTGAAATCAGTGAGTCAATCAATACGCAATCGTGAACTCTCTGTTCCCCTAAAAGATAAGTTATCAGCATTATACAATTTCTCTACAAAAATCGAAGTTTGCGCTCACGTAAGTTCTTATTACAATCTTGTTTTATTTCTTTACAATAAAATACATCGACACGGATTTACCGTACATCGCGGAAACGTACACACATTCGCACGCACGCCCACATTATATACTTGTACAAGGCAGTCGCCGCACGCACTCTTTCATCTCTCGCCTATATTCTACATGATCGCTATATTTTTTTTTTTCTCTTTTACACACGCGCGCGCTCACACATCTACATGCGCTCGCTCGCTCGCTCCTAAGTTTCTATACTCGATAAAAATTCTACTTTGTCTCGACACACACGCTCGAGTCTGAGAGTCGAAGGCGGAGCCGCGCGGCACGCATTAAATCCATGCTCCGCAATTTTTATCATGCCGGAGCAGTCCCGTGGATACAACAAGCGATAAAAGCGCCAACCGTCCTCGCGTGCTTCAGTCTAACGAAATGCCTGTTCCTCGTGACCACCTCGTGGCGCGTGTCTCACGCCTAGTTCCGGTGTAAACCAGATCGTTTTCAGCCCATCTTCGGATCTGATTTATGAATCTCTATTTTTTTAGTCAAGATTTTTGTATCAACAATCCTGATCTGAGCAAGGATTCAATGTAGGATCAAATGTCAGACTGAAAAGAGAAATCAAAGTAATCAGAATCATCGATCAATTGTAAAAGAATTAGCGGAACTTTTGAATGCCAATCCGGTCTACATCGAAACTAGGCGCGGACTTTCGCTCGATTCAGCTCGAAGACGCTTATTTCGCAAGATAAGTTATTCGCTTAGAATTTTCGATCGTCGGCCCAGGATCGAGTTCGCAATCGCTTATTCTTACACTAGCCAAAGGCGCCTGTACACTACTGTCCTTTAAATTATACACTATGTACACGAAGAAAGATACCTAACAAGCTGGTTTTATCTGCACGCGAGGATCGTAGATCCACGGGTCAGACATGTGGGCATCGCGATGCACGGTACCGAAGTGAGAAAAGAATACTCGTCCTTTCGTTGCGCGAGCATCGATCCGATAGTTCGATACACCTTCGTCTGCCTTCGCTCGCTAACGATCGTCTCGTCGAATCTACCACGATCAGTTCAAGAGATAGATCGCCTATGACATTGTCCGAAAATGGACATCGTATTTGTGCGTCGGGTCGAATTCAGTCTCTTGTCATTTGTTTATTCAAATTCGATATACATACTATTTTTCCACGTTGAGATCTAATTTTGGAAACTCGCGCTTCTCTTCGATAACTCGATTTAAATATCTTAATGTCATCCGTAGTCAAGATTCACAGTCTTAAAAGCTTAATTAGCGTGTCTAGAATCCGCTTCACAGTTCAAGAGGAATAACACACCGTTACGGAACATCCCCATATATCGTCATCCTAAAGTCTCAATTAGCGCCATTGAGTGAGCGAATTATAATGTGCACATAGTAGACACTGCCACTTCCCTCTCCCCCTCAGTGGCTACATCATCGTCGTTGTCATCTTAATATCTGGCCCAGCTAGTCTTCAGTCCTATCTAGTCTTCAGTTTGTAGTACTTTGTCCGTTGAGAGAAGGACAAGTTCCTTCCTCATTATCGTGGTTGTCGTAACGTCTCAATTAGCTCTTGCAGAATCTCAACTTCGATCGGTGTCACAGAGCGCGCGGACGACACTTTAGCCTCTATTAGCACGGCTACATCTCCATCCTAATCCGGCTGTCGTCTCTTTACTAACTGCACCTTGGTTCTAATAATGATAACGTAGCACGTGAAGCACAGCTCAAAAGGCATCCTGCTCAGTTGTCGCGGCTACATCGCTTGCTTGCTTGCTCGCTCGCTCGCTCGCTCGCTCGTTTACTCGCTTGTCCTCCTACGTGCCTCCTGCTCTCACGGTTGTCTGCCGCCGCCGGCGGCGGTGCCGTGCGGATGCCCTGCACCGGGCGCGCCGTTCGCCGCCGCCGGATGTGAGTGGTGGGCCTGTGCAGCGGAGCTGCCCCCGGCGGGGGCCGCGGGTCACTTGGGCGGGAATGGCGAGATCACCGAGGCGGCTACCGCGGCGGCCTGCTGACTCGCCAGCACTGCCGCTGCAACACACACAGAGAGACAGCAGGCCATTAATGTTTCGTCACGATCACTCTCAAGTGCCTACTTCGTTTTTCCAGCTGTTAGTATTACGATTCGGTAACGGTGGCGACCCGCGGCACCCGAGATTGAAATTTAACGCGTTTCGATTATTGGGAATCGAAGGAGAGACCAAGACTCGCCGCCAATTGAGTTATCAATAACAGCAGCTTCCTTTATGCCATCTGTGTGCTATGCAGTTGCTCCATATTATACAATATATAATCGTAATGTTACTTACAAATCGAGAAGAGAGATTAATCATTTGAAAATAATGAGAATGCAACTTTTCGTGTTACTTTCCATACATTCGCATGATTAGAAGCTAGAATAACATTTGCAGGAATAACATTTGATGATGAGCGACATATGGGCGCAAATGTAAGCGAGGAAACGAGGAAACGTCAGCGATTCAATTGATCATCATTGCATTTCTTATCTGATAAGTTACCAAGGCGCAGCAGAAAGTAGATCTGTGACTATTGTTTTCTTTTCTTTTTGTGTAAATATTAAAATCGCACATTGGCAAGTAGGCTCTTCGAGACAGGATCTTCGAGACGATCGTTAACGCACGAGTGCAATCCTCCAGGAAACGCATCGTTTTTCGAGCTCAACCGCGCTCGAAGTGAAACCCGTATATTTGAAAATACCTAAAACACCGAGCTACTTCCATCACTATGACGAGAAATGGCGACGGATATGTGTGTGACAAGTAAGTAGAGAAAGCATAAAGTGACGTGTACCTAAGTGACCGTTTCTCTTTCTACCTCCCACTCGTTTCTATTCTCCCCTCGCAATGGTCTCGCATCTATAATACATTTTCTCGCGTGCTTGCGGACTTCCCTTGTTTACGCGAAAGTCCTGGCAGTGTTAGCTCCGTAAGCGTATACTTGGTCGATTAAATTCGCTGATCGGCGATCGCTTTCCGCGTACGAGAATGTCCTTAATACGAGACAACGTAATAACAAAAAAGATACACACATACAATTTGAGGAAATATACAATTGTACAAAATATAATAAATATTAACAGCGGAGAATTAAAATTAAAGATGAATATTATGAAAAAGAGATCACACGATTGAATACAGATATAAGATCTTTCATTCCCGTTTCTCTCGAAGAACAAGATATGTAGTTTGATTTTTTTTTTTTAAATACCAAGACAATATCAAATGCCAAAGATATTTTAAAATCTGTCTGATAAAAGATATTTTAAAAGCTACATCTGTCTTCGAATATTGGATGATAAAGTAAAAAAGAAACAATGTTTCTACAAATGACAAGCGACATTCTCGTAACGGCAAACGTAACGCTAACTCGCGACTAAACACAAAAATCACGAACTATAATCTTAACGGCTGTTTTGCTGCAAATAAAGTTTTCGTGGAAGACTACCGATGTCTAACGAAAAATACATGCGAAAAATACACGAACGCGAATACAAAGTATCGCGTTTACAAAGATAAAATGCTACAGATTAAAAAAAATCTATGTGCCAAATCTTAAGAATGCGGAAAACTTGAAAATAGACTTTCATAAAGTTTAATTTTTGGATGTTACGCATTTTGAATAAAATCTGAATATCAAGCGTTTCAGTAAAACTATTCAATATCCTGCTGTAGACAAAATATTAAATTCTGTTTCAAGAATCTTTTTGAGTGTTTCAAGAAACACTCAAAAGGAGCATTTGACATTTTATTATTAAAGCTCTTTTAGATTGCACTCTTTCAAACTATTCTTCAATCTCCCATCCTTTTCAGCACATAGACTTTTCAATTTGTATTGAGAACTGCACTTTCCTCGCGTAATGCCACAATTAATATTAACAATCAATATTAACGCTGACATCGATATCAAACTCGGTGAGATCGTTATCGTCGTCTTTATTACTATTACACGCGAGTGCCCAATCCCACCCAGAGTTAGATGATCCTGCCCGTAAAATCCTGTTACCGTTTCTACCGTCTCGGAAAGAAGCACGATAAATAATTATCACAGTCTGAACTATACGTCTAATTCCTACTTGCGCCCTACTTGCGACACATAGCTTACATAGCTCATCTACACACACGGCCGCACTTATTACTCCAATATCTCCAAAATATTCAGTCCGTTGCTACGGGAGTCATAAATATATGTATATGTATATATATATATTTATAGATATACAAGGTGTCTCCAGTACTGCGCACTTTCTGTCAATTATATATATATATATATATATATATGTATATTATGAATCATACTGAATCACGCTAAATATTATTTCAAGTACTTTCTTGAAGAATAAGTTAAAGATTTTAAAAATAAATTTTTCTTCTTTGACTAAATTAAAATATATAAATTCTCTATTTTGAAGTATTTTGCTAAAATAGAAAAATGACTTCTCGCCGAAAAGAGAATTAGTTCTAAGAACTGAAGAAAATTATTTTTACTAGATAAAGGAGATTGCGACGATAAAAATGCGAGGCCCGCGACACCAGGTATATCACGTTCATAAAATGCAACGTTACAATGTGAGCGGATCGCGTCGCTCATCTCTCCCGCAGAATGTACAGTCAACGATAAATTATTTACAAACATCGTTTAGATCCCGACTCCTTAACGCCGAGCTCACATTAGAACAAGTTCGATTTTTCCATTTTATCTTTTTTTTTCTTTTGTACAAAAGAAGAAATGCGTCTCTTATTGGTCTGGTAATAAAATAGTACCTTGGTGGAGATTCGGCGCGCGGATCGACTCTCAAACGGAGAGGGCCACGCGAACTCCTTGTTGCACACATCAGGACTCACACGTGTCTTTATCTCTTTTTTTTTTCCTTTTCATCTCTTATGCACCAATATGGTGTACAGTTGAGACACTCAGGCTCTAAATATTTAGCCGAGTTTTACCCGTTTTTGTCGGACGATAGCGTCCGGGTTTATCCCGTAACTAAAAATTTCCGTTTTGTTCGCCATTTATTATTCGTCGTCGAAGTCATTCTATAACATCCTATTCGACCTCGTCAGTGCGCGAACGTACATGTTAAAAACGCGGTCGCATCGTGTCATATATTTAAAAGTGCTTCCTAGAGGCCAACTATTAATTTTGTTCAAAGGATCTCAAGGAATCCGAAGTCGGATTTGATAAAAACCTACAAATACCGAGTTGAACTCACGATGATTTATCGATGATTTAAATCGATCGCAAACGCTCAGCACAGCAAAGTCTAAACGCCTAAAAAGTCCCGACGTCGCTGACATTCAGTCACTTGCACCAATCCGCAAAACGCACTGTCCCAGAGATAGATTGCAAACGCGCTCAGCAATACATTTTTGTTTTATCACGTTCTCAACTCGCATCATCGTAATCGTCAATCCTCGGAATTCACACAAGAAGAACGACGCGCTGCAATGACGGAAAGTTTATCCTAACAGATGCACGCGTGTGTTCGCTCTCACGTTATTCCACTCACGGTTCTCTCTCGCTCTTGCTCGCGCGCTCTCTCTCTCGTTCTCTGGCTCTCGCTTCGCTGGATCCCGCGGGTCGCCTTACTGTCAGGGTCTGACGAGAGGCTTACCTCCGTAAGGGGCGGGGTACTGTCCCGTCAAAATGGGATAACCCAAACCCACATGAGTGTGATGGTGTGTATGCACATGTCGCTGTGGCGGCGGCGACCTGTTGTCCTTGCCGAGGTTGCCGCTGCTGGCATCCACCGCGCCCTGCTGCTGCTGTTGACTACCCGGCTGACCCTGTTGCTTGCCGGAAGGCTGCTGACCCTGGCCCGGCGGCGGGCCCGGGCCCGCAACCGACGTGGGCGGGCCACTAGGAGGTCGGGCAGGTGTAGGACCTGCCGAAGAAGGGCTGGCGGACGCCGCTGATGTCTTGGGCGTCGGTGACTTGAGCGCGCGCTCCTGAAGCTCGTGTATCTTGTGCGCCGAGTAATACTGATTGGCGTGGTGCTGCAACAGGTCCAGCGCTTTGCCGCCAGGCGGACGACTAAGATCCTCCGGAGCGTGATACCTGGGCAGCTGGTGAATGTAAGGATTACTCGAGTACGGACCGGGCACCAACATGGGACTGAGGCCGCGGTACACCGGATGACCCGGGTCGAACGGCAGCGCGCCGTAGTGCTGCGGCTGCATATAACTGGGATGGATATAAGCGTACTGCGAGGTAGGCGGCGGCGGCGGTCCTTGAGTCTCCATCGTTGGCTTCACGCCCTCCTGTTTGCTCTTGGTATCGTCGCTCTTGCCGAGATCCTGCGGTTTTTCCTGCTTCGGCTGATGTTTCGGACTCGGCGGCGGTGCCTTCGCCTGTTGGCTCTGCTTATTCGATTCCTCTTTCCGTCTCTGCTCTCCAGGATACAGGTAGTATCTCCTGTCGTCCTGAACAGGACCGGGAGGGGGAGGCGGTGCAGCTCTTTGACTCTGCGAGCCGTGATAGACGTGATATGGGCTCATCTGACTCTTCATCTCGATACTTTCTTTAAGTATCTGATGATTCTCATGCTGCTTATCCTTCAGGCTCGGCTGCGGCTGCGGCTCCTGCTTGATCTTGGTTTTCTGCTCGTGCGGCTCTTGATCTTGCGACTGCTGACTCTGTTGCTGCTGCTGCTGCTGCTGCTGCTGCTGCTGTTGCTGTTGCTGCTGTTGCTGCGAGACTGGTTGTGGCGGCTGGTAAGGATAACCGGGCGGCATATAACCGCCGTAACCGCCATAATAATGTGGCTGCTGTTGCGGCTGCGGTACCGGTTGACTCAACTCCTTCTTCTCCTTCTCCGACACGACGCTCTGCAAGCTCGCCATCGAAGGCATCTGTGGTATGTTGAGCGGTTTCATCTCCTGCTTGGGCGTGAGATCGCTTGGCTTCTGATCCACCACCGGCTTGGTGTCCGGGACGCTGGGCACCAGATAAGGCGGTTGACCATAGTACGGGTACATACTGAAGTGGGCAGGCAAATGCGCCGGCGCCGTCGCCTTGTTGTCCTTCTCCTGGCTCTGTTTCGATTTGTCGGCTGGCTCAGCCTCAAGTACTGGTGCTGCGTCGTCCGATATGTCCGAATAGGCCGGACTCTGAACATCGTCGCGCGCCGAGTCGACGATAGGCGCCTCGAGCGGCGACGGATGCGGGCTGCCACCGGGAGACTTGCGCGACTTCTTCTTGTAACCCTGCGGCTTGGGCGCGCGCGCATCCGTGCTCGTCTTGCTCTTGTCCTGCTCCGGCATGAGCGCCGCCGTAGGCTTCACCTTGAATTGCGGCATCTTCGCCGCGGCGGCGTGCAACGATACGGCACTCGGGTACTGCTGCAGATGCGACTGCACGCCCTGAACTGGGTGACCCGGCGGCGGCGGCGCTGTCTGCAGATTGCAACCCGCAGCTGCTTGCTGCGACACCTGACTCGCTAGATTCTGCAGACCCGGATGCTGACTGGCTATACTTTGCAAACTGGCCTGTTGCTGCTGTTGCTGCTGCAATCCGGATGGTTGCACCACGTGAGCCTGCGCAGGCTGGCCCAGTTGAGCCGACAGGGGATGCTGCACTGATTGCAGCTGATGCGCCGGAGGTAATTGCTGCTGAACCGACGACTGTAGCTGTTGTTGCTGCTGTTGACCGCCGATGCCGGGCTGCAGCTGCTGCTGCGACGGCTGCCCAACTTGCTGTAACGACTGTTGCGCCTGCTGCAGTAGAGAATTCTGCGGCTGATGCGATTGCTGCATTTGTGACGGTTGCGGTGGCTGCGGGATGTTGAGAGGTTGGGGAATGTTCGTGCTCGGATGCGGCGAAGGCACGGGTCGGGGCGACTGACTCGGATGAGGACTGGGGCTCTGGGGCGGATTCGATGAACTTAACGACGACTGACTCTGTTGCTGCTGTTGCTGTTGCTGCTGCTGCTGCTGCTGTTGCTGCTGCTGCTGCTGCTGCTGCTGCTGCTGCTGTTGCTGCTGCTGCTGCTGCTGCTGCTGCTGCTGCTGTTGCACCGATTGCTGTTGCCTCGACGACGGCGCTGTGGAAGTGGGCGCCGGCAGGTCGTCTTGGCCGAACCTTAACACGCCCGGCTTAACGATACTTTTATCCGCAAGTACGGGCGTGGCAGGTTCTATGCTGGGCGACGGTACTCTCGGAGGTGGCGGCGGCGTTTCCGGCGGCAGTCCCGCCGCCGGTGGACTCGCTGCCCTCACTGGCGTACCCTCGGGCTTGTCAGCCGGCGATTTAACCGGCGTAGCCGGACTCGGCGCCTCGATATTGCTCTCGTCGTTCTCCGACATGCTAGTGATACCCTCCTTGGTATCGTCATCGTCGGCAGAGCCGTGCGCGTGGCTCTGGTGGTACTTGAGTCCATTGATGTGTTTGTACTTTTTACTGCAGTTCGGCTCGGGACACTCGAGTAATACCGGACTAGCTGGCGGCGAGCCGCTCGGCGGCGTGGGCGGCGGCGCCCGCCGCTTGTTCTTGTCCTGCTCCTCCTCCGGTCCGCGTGACTTCCGCTTCGCTGCTGGATCCGGCCGCGGTGGCACGAATGCCGCTGGGCTGGGGCTGGCCGCTGGCGAACCTTGCGCGCCTCGTCGACCTTTGCCGCCGTTGCGCAGCTTACTGTGCACGGAACTCCTCGTCTCCGTGAAGTTGCTAAGGTCATTACCGGGCGTGGAATTCGCCGCGGCGCGACCGCGTTTGCCGCGTCCCTTCGGCGTGCGGGCATCCAGGTCGCTAGTCGGCGAGTCGCAGAACCGGGGTGGTGCCCAGTCGTGACGCGTGCAGTCCAGCAACGTCCCGACATACGTCTTACCCCGCCACGTAACATTTACCACTAACACACCTGCAAAGAAATAGAGAGAATAATATCTCAAACAATAACATGCGGTAAAAGTAATCTTTCGATTCTTTTAGATAATTTAAGCTATTTAGTGGAAAATATTTGCCGAGATTGCTTGATAAGTTGAAAACCTGCATGCATGTAAATCTGTATAAATCATGTAAGTCAATAAAAATTTCATGTGAATCTCAAGTAAGATAATATAAATATATAAAATATCTCTATCTATCAACTGTTAATTCTTTGCACAGTTTTGTATTAAACAGACTCGATAGCACTTTGCAGTCATCTCAGCATAATTTCTTCAATACTTGAAACAATGCCATAATTGCAACTAGTAAACTACATTTTTAGATCTTTATAATTCCTCAAACCATATAGATTAATTGTATTAAGACTCAGTTAATTTCCACTTTTTGCATAACACATCGTTATTTTATAATCATTAATATATGGAATAAAATGTACAGAATGTATTGCAATGCATTTCTTGTTTGATAATTAATATAAACAAACTTGTATGCGCATATTGTGCGATCTAGTTAGATTTGAAGGAAGAGATTCGATGGAGGAGCAAGAGAAAGTTGACGGAACGACACGTGGAACGAAGGACAAAACTGGTCCTAAAATATAGCGGTCTTAATTCCCCGAGGCACGATCGAGCAATTTTATCGCGTAATAAGTTTCATGACAACCTGTGATGAAGTGACTCGTGCTTGTGTATCTCCCTCTCTTTTTCTCCTCTCAGCTCCTTCGTTTTGCGCGATCAGCGCGGCTAATTAAAAATATCTCTCTTCGTGCACGAAAACGTGGTGCTTTACAAGTGATTTCAATGATGCCGCAGGTGTTTTCAGTCACGGAACTCCCGTGTGTTCCACAAAATACGCGACCAAATTACTTTCACGTTCGTGTAATACAGAGAATTGACTCCAGGTAAATCGAATTGCCACAACAGAATGTCGCACGAGACTCAAGTGTCAAAAAACGTGCATGGAGTAGCGTATTTTGTAAATAAACAAAAAAGTTCTAACGCTTGACTAACACGTAAAAGTTTCAATTATCAAGTTCAGAAAAAAAAATTAAAAAAAAAAAAAAAACTCCTTTTTCGCAAAATGACAATTAAATTCAAGATAAAAATTGCTATCATCTAGAAATAAAATTATGTCCAACGGTGTAGTTTGAGAAAATTTGTGTTACTATCATTCGAATTAATTCTAAACCTCAGTAGACGTAGCTTAAAAATAAACATTTGTTTTTAAAAAAAGGTATAGAAAAAAATCACCTAGACGAGCTCGTCGTTTAAATCTGCTGGTATTTTTCGCGCGGACGATGCGAATCAGGAGATTGAAATAAAGAAGCAGACGGCAGTGCGGCGGTCGGAAGAAAATAGAAGGGAACAAAGGAAACAATAAAAACAGCGGAAGCTCCATGATGACCAAGTTCCTAAAAGCCACACGACACTGTATTTCTCCCGTCAGTCACATCTCGCCGTCTCTCTTTTATTCTGAAAAACAAAGCGAGATGTCGCGTCGCTTCTTTCTCAATCCTACAACCCTTCGTCCTTTCACTCTTTTCCTCTCTTTCTCGCCACGCGGTCAGAAACCTCGGGGCATTTTTGGTTGATTGAGCCGTCCCCTCGTGCGTCGACGTCATTCTCATTTAACCGCGAAAGGTAAACGTATGAGTGAACATCGGCGCCGACACCAGCTCCGAAGGATGATGATAAATCCATGCGCCCCACCTTCGTCGTGCGCCTTTTCATCTCATTTGTTCCCGAAAGTCTCGTTTCCTCCCGCCCATTCTTTGCTTTTTTTCCTTTTTCACATGAATTTTGACGGTGATCGAGTGCCGAGTAAAATGACTAATTAGCCATGAATAACTCCAAGAGACATTGAACCTTAAATCGATAAATGTTTTGCTTTGAATGGTGACGCTTGCAGAAATTTCATCGAAAAGATTTTAACGAAAAAAAGTGATTCTTATTTATAAAAATGTTCAAGTGAAGAGTGACTAAAATTTTTAATAGAATATGCGAGATATTACGGTAAGAAAAATAATTGTTTAAGCGCCTAAAAATGTTGGAAAAGTATAATTGTTTAATTATAAAAATTGAAAGAATCCTAAATGTAGATGTAGAATTTTATTTTTTCCGTAATTTCTTGAATTAACTTCACTTCTACAAGTTATCTTGGTGTTTTGCACTCGATCTCGTAGACGAGGTTAATAGATTTCCCGTGGAACGATAAACGAATAATCGCACAGTCCGTCTCGGAGAGATTGCGGTCGCGGCAGCTGGTCGTGAAGAACGCAGAGTCACAACCAGCATTATTTGTTCGCTTGCGGCGAACAGACGGCGACGCTCTCTGCGCGCCGCCTCTCCTCGGGTTTCCTCTTCCTGAAAGCCGACGAACGATAAAACGCCCTTTTTTCGAAGCGGAAGATTTGTGGTCACAATCGAAGGAAACAAGAAACTGCCGGATGAGAAAGAAAAGCTCGCAGCTTTGCCCTAAAACGACCGGTTGATATTTCGACGGGCAATACCGTCGAATCACTATCGCGATATCTTAGAGTTGTAGTTTTCTCGGCTTTACATTGTCAGCCGTCACGTGAAATCACGTCGTCCTCCGAGCAACGACAATCGTGGACGAAAACACTGCTCTAAACAGGAAGGTCGCTTTCGAAACAAGTGGATTTCTTTCCGTGTTGAATGCTTGTCATGCGGTTCTTTTTCGCGACTCAGTCAAAAACACCTTATTTATCAACATGTGTAAGAAAACATGAAGTTTCGAATGTGTGCATTACGCGTTGACATTCAATGTCTGGCATGATTTTAATGGATTAGCATTTTGATGAAGAAAATTCGTCGATGAATCACTTCATCAGTGCAAGGATGAAAAAGATTACAATGGTTTTGATGTACCATGATATTTATAAATTTTTCGCATTAATCACTAAATTGCTAAAATTGATCACTAATCGACGAAAAAAAAATTTTAATTTAATATGGAATATTTTTAGATAATAAAATATATTTGATTTTAATGCTTTAAATATTTTGAAAAAGACATAAGAATACAGCTGATCAATCATTTTCTTGTGATACGATCGATGGTAAGTCAATGATATCTCGCTCGATAGAATCCGCACAGAGTGAAGCAGAGCGCAGCAATACAGTTGCCAGGTGAAATGTGAAATTACAGAGCAGTATTTGTCTCCGTCGAGTAGCAGTTGTCTGTAGCGTCCAGAGACAACATAAACATTGGTTTGGAAATAAAAGAGATCTTTAACTTTTAAAATAGAGACGATCTTTTTTGTTCAAAAAACGAGCTGTATTTAAGAAGATAGCGATGCGTGTTCAACGTTTAGCTTATTATAAAAATTTCATTTAATTTACGATAAAAACTGTTGTTATTAATTATCTACTTTGACGTAGAAAAAGATTAAAAGCCTTGAATCAGTAAATAATAAATATATTTATTACACGCAAGAAAGTTAAGACATTTTTTAAGATAAAAATCTCTAGTGACAACCTTTCATTCAGTTCTCATTAAGGAAAAGATACTCCAAATCCCGTCAAAGAACCTGTAGCCGGTAAGAAACGACATCCAGTAGACGCGGTAGGAAGAGCGGATTGTAAGAGGAGGAGGAGGTATGAGGAAGGAGCAGGAGCAGAATTCTGTCTAGATGAAGCGAGAGATGTTGCGAAGATCGATAACACAAGCTGTATAACTCTAGCTCACCTCCACACGGAAGAGAGACTTCTCTCGCCTCTCACGTCTCTCCTTCCCCGCCCGCCCCATCGCGTCTCCGACAAGCATCCTTTCATCAACGTCTCTGTGATCCGACTAAACTACCCTGACATCAACAAAACCAAGTCTGATGGGAGATAGGCGCCTTTACGATACATATTTCGCTCATAGGTAGATAGATGTAATTGTATTGGTGATCGTTTGTATAGCATTCACAATATCGTGTAATGCTGCTCTCTGTGCTGGATGCCGCGAAACGTTCTCGATATCATACGGTTAGATCGTTGAATATAT